GTAATTTTTCTCAAAGTGTGCTATATTATCCACTTTTGTGGAATTTAGGTGAAGAATAATGAATGCCCCAATATTTCTAATATTGCCCTATATGTCTGAAGGAACAAACAAACTCCATGTAATGTTATATAACACAAGGAACAATACCAACCCTTCTAGAAGTTGCTACAGTGCAGTAACAAGCTGTCAAAATCTGTGCCACTGATACTTGAAAAAGCAGTGGGGGGTAACTGAAGCCAGAAACACATAACATTCTAGGTACTGATGTGTTAATTAGAAAGGAAGACAAGGATAACTAAAAAACAATATGAATTCACAAAGATGAAAAATATCAAACTAATCTCATAGACCTCTTTAAGGTAAGTACCACATGAACTCAATCTACTAAGTTATTAAAGATTTGCAAAGTGTTTACTTGTGAGTGTACATTTTAACAAGCCTCCTCCATGAATTCTGAGGTGGGTAGGTGATTTAAGGACCACTATCTGAGACACTCTTTTAAGAATGGAGGTCACAGGTAGTGCTATCTCTTGAGGAACTTCCATGCATCTGGCTTCTGCAATCTGTGTCTGTCTTTTATTTCCCGAACCACACTTTTGCCCTTACTAGATTGTCACTCACCTAGCTGACACAGATGGGAGTCTCTTTACACAGAAGTTCTCTGGGCTCCAGTGTCTGAGACTGCAGAATTCAGCCCAGGAGAGCTGAATAAAATAATAAAGAAATAAAATAATAAATGGCAAACTCAGGAATCTGAAGAGGTTCCATAGCACTGAGTTAAACCAGTGGGATTGTGCATACATCTCTATTCCCAGGTGCCCAGGAAGACCAAGTGTGCCTCATGACTCCAAAATCAAACTCATCCTTGCCAAAAAATAAGCAAGCAAATTCTTCAGGTTTCAAAGGGAGCTGGCTTAACTTATTAAAATTAAAGACTCTGCTTTGAGGTCTCATTCACCAAACAATACCTGAGGAAGAAGGGGAATGGCCTCAGCACCTGTGTCACTGGGACCCTCTATAATGATACCAAGTAGGGGTTGTGGCCACATTCGCTTCATCCCTGTCTCAACCTTTCCATCTCTGTGAGCCTAAATTCCCAACTGCCTGAGGCCTACTGATAACCCCAGACTAGATGTACCCCTTTTCATGTAATTACATATCAGGAGTTTTTATCCAGGACAGGACAAGGTAAACACCAGGGTCAGGCCTTGTGTGCCTCCACATTAGAGAGGGGTACCTGGGGTACAAACTTAAGGAGGCACTTACACTCAAGGGCACACAGTAAGTCCTAGGCATCTCATCTACCACACCCTAGACCCAGCCCTGGTGAGGATAAAAAATCTCAGCACAGTAGGGGGTAAATGAGGACAAAGGTATGAGGTTGTGGAACTGGAGACTCAAGGAAGTGACTGGTGTCTTCAGTTATGAGAGAAGTCTTCAGTGGACAGATGAAGTAGATTTATTAGATGTTATTTCAAAAGGCTAAATTTGAACCTCAAAATGGAACTCACTAGGAAGCTAATTTCAGCTTGAACAAGTGCTTCTATTATAACAATAGCTAATATTTATGGAGCACTTAGTTAAAGACTTTGTAGCATTGTGCATTAGTCTTCGCAATTCTAAAGAGTTAACCTTATCATGGTCATTATGCAAATGAGGAAACTGAAAATAAGACAGGATGAGTAAATAGATAAAGTCACAATTTCTTAAGTGGTATGGCAGGAATGGGAGTCAAACCTAGGGTTGTCTGCTTTGAAGCCCACGTGCTTAACTGCAATGTTAACTTATTTCCTATCAAATGTCTGAAAACTGCATTGGGATATTATATTTAAGCAAAATCCCTATGACCATCTCTTAGTGATATTTTTTTTTTTTTTAGATTTATTTATTCATGCAACAAGAGCTGGGGTATAGGCCAGACGTACAGGAATAAGAGGATTCAGCAGAGACAGAGCGGGGAGCAGAACAGGCATATTGACGAAGTACACTGCTGAGGGGAGCAGCGGGCGGGTCTGGAGAGGTCTGCCATGCCATGTGGAGCACCTCCGGGCCGGGGCATCTAACTTGAACTGAAGAGGCTGTGGCCAGCTTGCAGTGCTGCATCCTAACCTGTTGTGCCACCAGGAGGGCCAGGTTCCTAATTCTTTTTTTTTTTTTAAAGATTTATTTATTTATTCATACAGAACTGGGGTACAGGCCAGAGATGCGGAGGGTGAGAGGATTCACCAGAGACAGAGTGGGGTACAGAACAGGCAGATCGACGAAGTACACTGCTGAGGGGAGCAGTGGGCGGGTCAGGAGAGGTCTGCCTCGCCATGTGGATCTCCTCCAGGGCAGGCGGAAATCGAACTCATGAGGAAGTGGCTTAAGCTTCTTAGTGCTGTGCTTTAACCCGCTGCGCCACCAGGGAGGGTCTGTTCCTAATTCTTAATGATGGTCAAAGACAGGGTCATGCAGGGTCACTTTTAAAAAAATACAATGCCTGAGTCCCAGCTCAGCCAACTTCATCAGAATCTATGGGGACAGGGTCCAGGCATCAAGGTGACTGGAATATACAGCTCAGATTGAAAACTGCTCTAGAAGACAGAGCTTAAAAGAAGTAGGAAGAAAAACCACTTGACACATAAAAAGTTTGCTTTTCCACAAAGCTGATTATAGACTACAAAGAGTAGTAGCATAGCGGTCTGAATAATTTGTATAAAAGGATATCTGACCTCTTAAAGTTTTTAACCAATTATAAATCTTCCTCTAGCTGTTATTCTTTCAGATTGTCTTTTTTTATTATTCTTTTTATTAAGATAACATTAGTTTACAGCATTTGAATAGGTTTCAGGTGAACAGCTTCTTACCTTGGCAGCTATAAATATATATGTGTGTGTGTCTATATACATATATATATATACATACACACACACATACACACATAACTCCACACCTAACCACCAAATGTTCAGTCAGCATCCATTTTCAACCAATCAGTTCCTCCACCTCCTCCAGTTCCCCCTCACATATCTTCCCTCTGGTAATTCTGTTAGATCAACAGTCTTGAGTATCACAGCTATTGCAAACCCACACTGGTAGTGAATACTCAAGTCCTTTTAGCAGATTATGGTAACTGCCAAGGAGATTGAGATGAGAAGAACCACCTTGCTGAGTTACAACAAAAGCAAATTTCTGATTAAATTCTGCATCTGTACTGATTAAACACACATTGGCAAGCAGGCAAAAATTGTCTCAACCTGTTCCAGAAGCCCAGTGAAGTTCCACTTTTATATACTTTTGGTGCTCCAGACACCACGGATGAAAGGCTCACAGAAGATAAGTCACCTTCCCTGCTCAGGATTTCTGACCACTATACCAAAACTACCAGATTTACTTGCATCTGTAATTTCTCTGATGTAAGAAGTTAGATTAATACTTTTTTTTTCAGGGTTGTGTTTTTTTAAAATAATATAATAGTTTATTTTTACATCATTTTGTGCCTTTTTCCATCTCAGTTGTATAGATTAATACTCTTAACTAATGTCAGGTTTAATTTGGCGGAACTTCTTTATAAAGTCAAAGTATAATCATTTTAGTACATTGTCAACAGAGAACATTGCCCCCCCCAAAATTAGTAAAACCTACATTACTGTACATGTCTTCTGAAAGCACATCAACATTTTTACCACTTTTAGAAGCAGATGTTTACTTTTTCACATTTAAAACCAATATATAAACTAATATTTCTAAGGCTCCAATTTAGATAAAGCTGTATGTGCAGAAGTGAATGGATGACAAAACAAAAAAGAAATGCAAAAAAGCCTGGACAGACACAAAGTGACTATCATTGTGCAAGTCAAACTGAAAAGGAAGAGCCAAGTAATACAACAACCAATGCCTTTTTGGTAAGCACAATGGCATGTTCTTGCCTTAGAAATTATCCTGTAGTAACTTCTCAAAATATTTTCAGACATAAAGTAAAAGTAGACACCAGAACTTAGTTATAAGACATGTCATAATCAGAAAAAAAGTAAAATGTGGTAGCAAAGAAAAATGAAACTTGAGGTTTTTTTGTTAGTAATAAATGGACACAAATGTATCAGACACACTTTTATGGGATGTGGTTGGGCTTTCCATGTCATCCCCAGAAGACATTATTCTTTTCCTGCTTTACACAATGACAATATCATTAGGAGAGAGCTAAATCTCTCCAGGCCATCTTGTGATGAAAGAAGCTTCATTTGACTATGCAAAGTCAGAGTCTGATAGTGAGCAGAGTCCGGTCTTGCCACTGTTTTTTCTGAATTTGTCTCTGGCCTGGTGTTGCAGGGGGTATCACTTCAACTGCTCACTGGAGTTTTTATATGTGCTTGTGCTGTTTAGCTCTGGTCTTTAGAGAGCTGCCCACTTAAGGGAAAAACACGAACGGGCAAAGAACAAAGGGCTCGAGGTGTGCCAGGCAAACCAAGACTAATGTCTGACTCAAAGTCCTTTGTGACAAAAGCCAGTGATAATTCCCATATATATATATATGTACATTATATGTATAATTTAATTTAATTCCCTGACTATGTGTGTGTATACAACACACACACATCATCTCAACTGCACAATAGTCAGCTAAAGCTTTTTAACAGCAGAGAAGCAAAGTAAATTAGAGAATATATTGGAATATGCTTCACTGAAGATTTGCATGCAGGTTAAAATGTGTGATTCAGTATACAAGCACACAGGAGTACACAGCGCTGGACTAGGTGAGTCCAGCAGCAAAACATAAGGAGCACCCAACACGCAGATATCAAGAATTAGTGTTTTGAAGCAAAAAGAAATTTTTGGGTCCCATCCCATTTTGCCATTCCAGAGGACACCTTGCTCAGTTGACTCCAGTCATAGATCTAGATTCAGTACCAGTTCCTAGAGAGGCTGTGGCACACACCTGGCCGCTGGGAGGTTACTTCCCCAAGGTAGGAGGAGGTAAGAGGGAGTCAGCTCTCTCCCGCGGCCAAACCCCAGCCTACCTCGCTTATTCTGCGTGCCGTGCTTCTTGGCCAGGGTGAGTTCTCTTTGGATTCGGTTTTCCAAGTACTCTTGTTTCTTGCCCAGCATCTCCTCCGTCTCCCGAAGTCGGGCCAGGGCCTCCTGGGGGCTGGGAGCCGCTCGGCTCTTAGAGCCCCCACCTTTAAAAAACTTGCCCAACTTGCTCATAGTTGTGAGGTTGGGGGTGTGTGCGCACTCGGGAACCACTTAGGAGCTCCCTCGGGCCGCTCTGGGCAAGGTGAGCTAGGTCTTCGTCCAGAGTCTACGCACAGACCAAAACGGCGACACTCTTAGGAATCAACAAGTCGTCTGAGGCAGGTGACAGACACTCCCGGGCATTTCCTGGCGGCTGGCGCGGCCCCGCCCCTCGCTGCGGCTTGGGCTGGGAGTGCGCGGGGTTGGACTTGACCGCCTGGCGCCACGGGGCCCTCCGGGACTTAAGGGAGAAAATAGATCTGAAAAGACAGACAAGACTGCAGCAAAGTTGCTGCTTTCACCACACTAGGGATGCCCAGCCAGACAGCCAGAGGACTAGCTTTGAATGACTCTGAGAAAAGCCAACATGGGCTGCAGGGGTCCAGGGCTGGGGCCTGAAACTGTGTACACCAATGTGCCTTCCAGATCTGAAGAAACAAATGCTTTATTAGTGTAGGTGGTTTTATGTGTCTGTGAATGTGTGTGAGCACAGTGACCCTCTATTCAGGTTTCCGTCCTTGTGAGCAAGAATATTCAGATATGGTGGTCGAGTTGTATGACATGTTGGTGAAGTGTGTGGAGACAAGAGCTTCCCCCATCTTTGTCTCCCACGAGGCTGCAGGTGTGTGAGCAAGAGGTTTATTCCAGGAGCAGCTGGTCTGACTGGGCACGTCTCTGCAGATGTAGAGTTCAGGCAGGTTTATGTGTATGTACCTGCCAGTTGGCATGAGAAGATTCTAGATCATTCTCATGTGACATGAGGTGGATGAAACAGATGGTGGTCATCTCTTCCTAATGTCAGGGTTGCTGAGTGTGTTTGGTAGTTGCATTTGATTCTGAAATTAGAAATCTGAAGATTTCAGTGTGATTGTTGGTATATCAGAAAACTAGAGTGAGGTACTCTTGTGTTTGGGCCTATGTCAAATGCCTTTACAGAGACAGGTAAGTAATAAAAAGATTGGCCTACAAAATGGAAACATTCTTTTGTTTCTGCTCACCATTTCAGTACCATCTATTTGTGTTGTGAGCAGAGTTTTTGTAACAAGAAAGAGCAGCCACATGCAATTACAATGGATGATACATGAAAACATATGCTATGCTGAGTATGAAGCTGAGTATTTTCTAGTTTTCACAGCCTATTTGAACATTACTTAGCATCATGAGAACCTACTTGTGATTATTATCTGACCACTGATTGTTACAAGGGGGTGAAGGCAAGGACCTATAACTACAACAAATATTCACTAGCAATGACCCAGTTTTTTCTGTCATCCTAACACAGAAACAGAGGTTGATCAGTTTTATCCAACATGGTATAGTCAGCTTCAAATTTTGCAAAAATAAAATTGAACATCTTCTCAAGAGCATAGTGCTATATATCTTACACACACAAACATGTGTAATTATTATTTCCCAGTAAGTACAAGTCACCTCTTACTATTTCCTGCCTTCCCAGCACTTAAGGTATGTAACACATATTTTGTTTTAACCTTATTTGCATAACAAGTTATAATAAGCATTGTATATCATTGTTATTTAAATATTTCATGAATTTGTTTTAGAACTTAGAAATTAGATTTTTAAGCCCCTGAGAGGTAAGAGGTAGCCCATAATGTGCAACAGGTCCTATTGCTGATCAGTTTAAACTTTATTGAGTGTATACCCTGTATAAGGTACTTGGAATGCAAATACAGTCTGCTGTCTAGAGCTTACCTTCTAGACATACTAGTCATAGTTATCATCTTTTGAGTTGCTATTAGAAGGCAAGCATATTGCATGCATTATTAATAACTGTTTCAGAAACCCCCAAAAAATAGGTCTTGTTATTTCTGTTTCACAGATGAAGAACTCAAAGTTCAACTGGTAACTTGGCCAACCTCACAAGCTATAAATATGGAAGAGATCTGTTTTATTATTTTAAAGATATTATTTATTTACACATACAGAACTAGGGTACAGGCCAGAGGTGTGGGAGGGGGGGCTATGGGGGTGGTGGTGAAAGGATTCACCAGAGACACAGTGGGGAGCAGAAGAGGAAGATCGAATGAAATATACTGCTGAGGGGAGCCGTGAGTAAGACAGGACAGGTCTGCTGTGCCATGGGAATCACCTCCCTGGCCAGGGAGTTGAACTTGTGCTGCAGTGACTGTGATAGCTCCACAGTGCTGTGCTTTAACCTGTTGCATCACCAAGCAGCTGATCTTTCTGTTTTAAAGCTCATGATGTTTTCATTATTTGCCTGACCTTCTTCCCCTCTGTGTGGCTTGGTCCAAGGAAGAAACTCATTAAATTTTTATTTAGTTAAATAACACCAGGGTGAAGTGACTGTTATGTGTTAGATTAAATAACCAATGTTATTGAGTTCACAGAGGGGTACATTTAAATAGAAATTTCTACATTACAGTAAAACATTTCTTTGTAGTTTATTAACCAATATTTTTCATTGGGAAAATACTGAACAAATGAAACAAAAGGTCTAAAAGTTATAATAAAAAGTTGTTTAATGATGTCTCTATTATGTTTTCATTCACAGATATTTGTTGGCCATCTCTATGTTACAGACATTAGGCTAGGTGTTGGGGGACATGGTTAGAACGAGACAGAGAGATTTTCTGACCCAACAGGAGTTAAGCAAATTATCTCACAATTAATGGTCTTTGTAAGTTCTATTAAGTTCTTATGGAGACCTTGGAAGTACAAGAAGTTCATACAATTATCAGAACAGATAATAGTGGGACTTGATCTTAGAGATTACAAAAAAATGATCTTTAAGCTGGCAAACGTTTTGGTGATAAGTATAAGATATCTAGGTTTAGAGAAGAGAAGTTAGTCTTCCAAGATGCAGAATACTTCATTCATTCATCTTTTTTTCCCCTGAGTACATATTACATACTCAGCATTGTCTAGATCCTGGAGAGTCAGCAGTGACAAAATAAAGTCTAAATTCATATATTTTTGGAGTTGCTTTTCTAGTTATGGGAAGACAATCAATTAAGAAATAGTATAAGGGCCCTCCCTGGTGGCGCAGCGGGTTAAAGCACAGCACTGAGAATCTAAAGCCGCTTCCTCATGAGTTCGATTCCCACCTGCCCCGGAGGTGACCACATGGCGTGGCAGACCTCTCCTGACCCGCCCGCTGCTCCCCTCAGCAGTGTATTTCGTCGATCTGCCTGTTCTGCTCCCCACTCTGTCTCTGGTGAATCCTCTCACCCTCCGCATCTCTGGCCTGTACCCCAGTTCTGTATGAATAAATAAATAAATCTTTAAAAAAAAAAAAAGAGGCCCTCCTTGGTGGCACAATGGGTTAGGATGCAGCACCGCAAGCTAGCTGCAGCAGCTTCAGTAAGAGTTCAGTCTCTGGCCCCAGAGGTGATACACATGGTGCAGCAGACCTCTCCTGTGTTGCCCACTGCTGCCCTTACCAGTGTACACTATGGATCTGCCTATTCTGCTCTCCACTCTGTCTCTGGTGAATCCTCTCACCACTCCTGAACCTCTGGCTTGTACCCAGTTCTGTCTGTATAAATAAATAAGTCTTTTAAAAAAAAAAATACTAGTGTAGTAAAGCATGTGTCATATGAGAAAGAAAAAAAAAGTTGTGTTAAAGAATTAAAATTTTAGGCAGTAAATATAAAAATCTTGAGTCTGAATTATTAAGGCTGGAATGAAGGCCAGGGTAGATGGGGCTTGGAGATAGAAGAGAGAGCTTTTAGACTGTCTTTGATGTTAGACACAGTCTAGGTCACAAAGGGGAATATATTATATGCTAAGAATCTTCTATTTTCTCCAAAGAGCAAATGAAAATCAATCAGAAATTAAAATAAAAACTTTAGTCTAATTCAGTGGAAAAAATAATCAATTTTATCAAATTTAATGTGTAGCTTTTCAGAAACATGTGTAGTGTGCAAAGCAGAATACATCCAAATAAAAAAATCATTTCCTTCCATTAATATATAAATTCAGTGGAAAAAGATAATACTTGCAAGCAAACAAACCATCCAAATTTATATTAGTTTAATCTAACAATAGGACACAGAGAATAAATTTTTAAATCAATGATGAAGCTGAAAACAACACATTAATCTTCATTCAATACTCATCCTACAAATGGAGTTTCATAAAGAGTTCTCAGCATCTACTGTATTTTTCATTTTCTAATCTCAATTGACCTCAGCTAATAAGGAGGCTGTTGTTCAAAAGAATGATCTTGTTCAGGATAATTTACCATGGTTAAGATAGCAACGGAAATTGGAAATTTATAGATCTGTTAAAAAGACCCAGATGTCAGGCTAAATGATACAGTATGGCTACCCCTTGAAATTACATCCATTTTTAGAATACCAAAAGAATTCTCTAAAGCAACAGAAGAGGAATTACCCTTTAAACATACTGCAGAATCATCAAATAGTTGTTTATTAAGTAGCTCAACAAGAATGTACACATTCTTTTCATCAGTAGTTCTCTTCCTTTGACCAAAGAGTCATATATATAACACTCAAGCATAATTAATATAAAAGTAGCCATTATGAAAAATAATAATTTTGCAAAAATAAAAGTTCTATTCCTCTGATTCAGAATGAGGATACATAGTCCTTATGAATAAGTTTTGCCTACAGAGCTTTTTATTTTTGGGTCCTAATATCTCTACCCATTCCCTGATCAGAAAGGAGTGATCCCTCTCCCTCATTATCATCCTTATTGTATAACCTACCTGGAGGTGATCCCTACACTTCCCTTTACCTCTAGAATTTCACTACCCTTAAGTACAATCACATGATATTTTTCTCTAATCAAGGAACACAGATGATTATCTTCCACGCAGCTTCTTCCTCTGTCAGTGAGCCATGATTGTAGCCTTCTTTTTGCTCAAACCCAAAACCTTGGAGTCATCCTTGACTTCTCTCTTTTCTCACACTTTGAATTTAATCTACCCTGCCTCACAAGCTCTAACTACTACAAAAACTTGCCACTCATCACCACCACCACTGCTAAAACTGGACTGAGTCATTGCATCTCCCAGCTCCGTCATGCAGCAGACTCCTGACTGACCTCCCTGAGATCATCTTGACCTTGTGCTGTGGTGTGTACAGCACACAAGAGTCAGGCTGAGCCTGTGTTAAAGCTCTTCCTTGACTTTCCACCTCACTTCAATAAGAAGCCAAAGTTTCCCCAAATGTACAAAGTCCCTACATGCAGTAATACTGACCCCACCCTCACCTGCAAGTCCCTTTCCCCTAGTCCATTCTGCTCCCCCCTAGTCCATTCTGCTCCAGCTACACTGGCCTCCCCCATCTGACTGGAGTATACCAGGCACAAGCCCACTGCATCCCTTTGCACTGATTTCTGCCTCCAACCCTTCCAGACACTCCGTATTGTTCACTCCTTCACCTTCTTCAGATTTTTACTTGAATATCACCATTTCGTCTCACATTATTTACATCTGCAGACCTCTTGTCTCACCCTCTTCCTCCCACAGAGTTCCTATTCCCTCCCCTAGCTTTATTTTTCTCTATAACACTTACCACCAGCTATAATATACTGTTTTGGGCTTTTAATTGCTTTTATAATGATTATCTGTTATTTATTTATTTATTTATTTTATTTTTTGTCACTCTACTCACTAGCCATGTACCCCATGAGAACAGGGAATTTTTTATTTGTTTTGTTCACCTGTATTTTCCCATTTCCTAGATCAGAGTCTGGCACATAGTGGGTGGATGACAGTAGATCTGTCTTTATTCATTGAACAAACAAATGAAATGAAGAACTATAATGTATGTGATAAAATATTCAATGTCAATACAAAATATGAAATATTGTGACATGCAACTCTTAGATCCAGTAATCTATTGATAAAGTTCTCATTCTGGTACAAAATAAACACCCATAGTTCTAAGCTTTATTATCTCTAGATGGTAGGCAAAGGTTTTGTAATATTTCTGTCTAAATTGGAGCTAAAGGAAAATTTGGGCAAAACTACCATTACGTAACTGAAGACATAATCACTTTCTCATGTTAAAAATGTACTCTCTAGAAACTAATTCATATTTTAAAATATGTATATTTACCAGGACAACAAAAATATTTCCCTAAAGACTAATTACAAGTTCCCGTCTGGGATAATGTATTGATTAAAAAAAGATAAAGCTTTTCAAAACACACACATGCAGCTCCCATGAGAATAATGACGGTAGTCCTGATGATAAGTTTTTCTTTGTTTCACATCCTCCCACATCTCTACTGATTAAGCCATAGCTATTATAAACACTCTAGATTTCACTCTAGGTATTACAATACCTATTCTTGTTGCATTCCTTTAAATGCCCCAAACTGCCTCTTTCCCACATGAAGGATGGTATTCAGAACAAAGTACAGTATTTTAGGAGTTTTTGACCAGCCAAGTAAGATAAAACAAGTTACCGTGTTCATGTTCTGAAGATACTATATATATATAATTAGGTTAAAAACAAGTTCCCACTCCTTGCCCAGTTGGCAAGTTTGAGAGGCTAGACAAGATAAGGGAAGAGATAAGGTTACCATGGGAACTGGGCCATGAAACTGACCACAAAGACTAGAAAAACCAGACAAGCTCCAGGAATGCAGAAGTAGGGCTAGACCACATCATGTGGCAAAGGCCAGTACCTAGAGCAGCCATGCACGCAGATAACTGGTGCAAACTGGTGCCCCAAGTACGAAAGCCTCTCCCCACTCCCAAAAAAGTATAAAAGACAGCCTCAAATCCTTCTCCCCATGCAGGTATGTATCTCCTGTCTCACCATTGCTCCCTTGCTGGGTATTTCACTAAACTTGCCTTTTCTGTTCTCCACTGTGTCTCTAGTGAATTCTCTCACCCTTTAGCTTCTACCCCCGTCCACCCCCCTACACTGCAGTGCTTATTATAGCAGCTTTTTGAAGAACTCAGTTCAAATGGTAACTCAGCCAAATTTATAAACTGTAAAAATGGAGAGATCTTTCTGTTTTAAAGTTCATGGTCTTTTTATTATTCACATGACCTCCTTCCCCTCTGTGTGGCTTGGTTCAGAGAAACCCATTAAGTTTTTATTTAATTAAATAATGCCAGGGTGAAGAAACTGTTATATATTACATTAAATAAGTTTAGTATTGAATTTACAGAGGGCTGCATTTAAATAGGAATTTTCCCAGCACAGTAAAGCATATCTTTGTAGTTTACTAACCACTAACTTTTTTGTTGGGAAAACAAATGAAACAAAAGGATGGAAATTTATAATGAGAAGTTATTTAATGTGTATGTATCATGTTCATTCAGAATTCCTTCTCAGATGAAAAAATAACATGCTGAAAGTGAATAAGCAAGAAACCGGTTTCCTACCCTTTCTGATAAGAATGAATGTGAGGGTATTTGTTAAATATACAGTTTCCCAGGACTTGTACAAGACCCTCTAAATCAGAACCAGGGAAGGGTATAGGCAGTACATTTATTAACAAACTCTCCCATCTGATTCTTTTCTTCAATAAAGTTTGGAAAACTTTGATATAATAAGCATTCAAGGGAAAGGGAAAAACATGTGCAAAAGTATGAACGCATGAAAGAGCCAGAAAGTATGTTCAGGAAAAGATTGGAGAGTAGAGAGCCTGAAGGGATATGGTTAGTGCTGAGGATGGAGACTGTGAAAAGTTTTCCCAATAAATCTTTCCTTTACTAAGTTAATGAGTTTTGTGAATGATGGAGAAACAGTACAAAGTCATTGGCAAAGAAGTGGGTTTTGGGGGAGGAAATAATCAGAGAAATTGACAAGTAGACATTTGGGAGATACTTCTGAAGCATAACTGATAGTGTTTAATGGTCATTTCTATGTAAGAAGTAAGAAAGGAGAATATGAGGTTTCCAATGGGGTAGACTGACTTTGTTAGGGAGGGGATGATATGACTTGAGTTTTACATGACAATGGCACAAAGTGAGTATGTCTAACACAGAGACAGAAATAGATCTCTAGTTTAGGAGAAAGTTCTCAGGACTGAGAGTATGGGTAAGAGAGTCTCATTGTAATTATGGGAATTTTGCTTGCATGAGAATGCAAATTGATAAATGGACTAAGGACAGATATGTTTAAGCAGTATAATTCAGCAAAGCAGGAAAATTTAAGCAAAGGAACCAGATGGAAGAGCTAATCAAGATGCAACTGCAATCTTGACTAATCATCTAATTCTTATACACTCACTTTTAGTGCAGTGAAAAATAAAAAATTGCCTTTATGATCGAACTGATGAAATACACATTTACCACCTATCTAGACATTTAAATACTTAGAAAAATTAAAAAAAAAACACCTGTTTTTGATTCAATCAGCAAAGCTAAACACACAAAACTCTAAGATTCAAGAATACCAGAAATCTTTGATGCTGGATTTTAGTTCTAACTCTTCCACTAATTTGGGCAAATAATTTCACTTTCATGGTGTTTCTGCAGCTTAAAAAAATAAAAGCTAAGGAGGCTGGGATAGTTAGGTGATCTCAGGTTGCTTCCAGCTCTAAAGTCCTTTTTCCAGAGACCCAAGTAAGTCTATGATGGGACTCTAAAACAGATTTATTCAAAAGTAAATTTTCCAGTCATTTCTTCCCTTTTCCTCAGTAAATATTGATTTGGAAATCTCTAAAATTATATACTATGCATTGTATACTGTCCAGTTCCTGCCATGAGTAGTGTGTTGATTGTATTTATCCACTGAGTCGTGTCTGGTATCACATCAGTGGAATGGCATCCATGTGAACTCCACCTAGCTTCTTTCCTTACTACCTTTCAAGTGGCTCATCAGGCACAGGAAACTACCCTACCTCACACTGGAATTACCAAAAGCTTTCCTTAGGTAGTTACTTTAAAAAAAATTGTGGTCTCCAATCTTGAGGGACCCTCTGAGGTTCAGTATACGCTCGCAAGCTCAAGAATTACTCTTTTATTTTCCTATGAGAGAAAAAAAAAACTTTACTTTTTAAAAAGTCTAATTACTCCCTTGCAAGGAATTTTAAACTATCTAATCAAGTGACGTTGACGTCAATGAATCAGGAATCTAACAGCCACGTTACCTTCACTTGATTCTTAAAAACATTTGCGTCTTGCAACACGGAAACAACGTCAGCACATAATTTTCAAAGTCAAACTAAGTATTCCCTTAAAGACGACAGGATACTGCCTGGTTTAAAAGACGAAAAGACCAAATCAGCCCTCTCTGTCACGCCAGTGTTCAGGGCTTAGCCAACTCAGTCACCTGTCAAATTCAGGCACCGCCCTGCATACAGCGAGGCCCCGCCCCCATAGGCAGGCCACGCCCTGATTCCGCCAAACTCCCAGCAGGCTCTGCACACGCGACATTGCCCCGCCCAGCTGTCTCCGCCTCCGCCACCTCTTACGCCTAGTCCCACGCGACGCAGGGAGATGGCGGAGTTGGACATCGGGCAGCACTGCCAGGTGGAGCACTGCCGGCAGAGAGGTGATCTAGTCCCCAGTCCCCACCTCGGCGAAGCCGGACCTCGCTCTGCTCCCAGGAATGTTGGCGGCGTGTGAGAGGAAGGCAGAGTGTGGTGGGGTGGAGTCTGAGGAGGCGAGGCTGACGCAGCCCTTTATAGATTGTGACGTGCGTTGGTCCTTTTTTTGCAGCCCTTGAGTTTGGGAAAAGGCTTGTTGGCCTCTTTGAAGGGAAACTAGGAAATTCCTGAAAACTTTGAAGTTTTGCAGTGTTCATTTTGCTTTGCGAATGCACCTGCCAAAAAGTTGCATCGCGCTCACGGCTTTCTAATGAACCGGATGAGTTCTCTTTTAATCCTGCCACTGCTACTTTGGGAAAGCTAGTTCTTTCTCTCAAACTTATTGTTTTCTTAATCTGTGAGACGGAGGAGTTGGGCGTGATCAGTTTTTAACCTGGTATTCGCCGGTTCTTCGGGTTACAAGCTTCTAATGAGCATGCACTTAGGTTTTAGGAGATTCTCAAAGGATTCTGAATCTCAAACTATTCGGCCAGTTGATCTTTATCCTCGTTCACTTTGTTATTCTTTGATCCTAGTATCACTACCATAGATTCAGCAAATAAATGCCGAACATCTGTTCTGATGCTGGGACTACAAGAGAAGATAAAATGATGATCTTTTTTATAGGAATACTTTGAGTCCAGAATCTGCATTAATAAAATAGTTTACTGAACTGAGAAAAACCTTGTGATACACATGGCCCAAACCAATAGTAGATACGGTATTTGTCATACATCTGAAATAGACATGATCCTCCACATGACATGCCTATTCTCAGATTCCTGAGTTTCATCTCAAATGTGTGCTATCACATTTGGTCCATATTACATAGGGTGGTAAATAGGTTTTATCGTCCAGTGCAGCTTCAGTCATTGGTAGTAGGTACCTGAATCACCAATAAAAAGGTCTCTAGGGGCCCTACATGGTGGTGCAGTAGGTTAAAGCACCGCATTATGAAACATTCAGGAGCCACTGCAGCACGAGTTCTATCCCAGCCAGGGAGCTGACCCACATGGCATGGAAGACCTCTCCTGGCCAGCTCACTGCTCCCCCTCAGCACTATATTTCAGTACATCTGCCTGTTCTGCTCCCCACTCTGTCTCTGGTGAATCCTCTCACCCACCACACCTCTGCCCTGTACCCCATTTCTGTAAGCATAAATAAATAAATCCTAAAAAAAAATGTCTCTGAGTTTGGCCCACTTTTAACTGATTAGTGAATGCCTGCTCTGAGAGTGAGCAGGACACCATCCCTGCTAGACTTGTTATTTATCCATCACTACCAGTAATCACCAATCATTGAGCAGATAAGACTGTTTCCTTGCCGATTTTTAATACTAAACTTAACCAGTGTGGTTTTAACTAAGTTATGTATGTCTGGTATACCTGACTACCCCCTAATAAATCCATGGTGTATGCCATTTGTGACGTAGTTCAACTTCCTTTCCTATTTTAAGATGCCTCTTAAAAATAATTATTTGAGGCCCTCCCTAGTGGCGCAGCAGGTTAAAGCACTGCATTAAGAAGCTTAAGCCACTTCCACATGAGTTCAATCCCCGCCTGCCCCGGAGGTGACCACATGGCGCGGCAGACCTCCCCTGACCCGCCCACTGCTACCCTCAGCAGTGTACTTAGTCTATCTGCCTGTTTTGCTCCCCACTCTGTCTCTGGGGAATCCTCTCACCCTCCGCATCTCTGGCCTGTACTCCAGTTCTGTATGAATAAATAAATAAATCTTAAAAAAAAAAGTAATTATTTGAAAAGAGAGCAGGGCCCAGCTTTTTTTTATACTACTAGAGATAAGACTTAAAATTTGTTGCATGAGTACCTTAACTTTCATTTAGTTTCTGGATGGATGGGAAGATGTGTCAAGTGTTGTGATCTTAACTCTTCTGGTCTTTCTGCTTTGTGTCTAATATTTAGTTGTTCACCTAGTCTCGAAATAGTAATTTAAACATTTTCTATTTGAAAGAGACCTAAAAATTTTATGGGAGTATTTCCTTCTCTTGTTGACAAATGTATATATTTGGTTCAAAACAGATACAGTATGATGCTTTCAGAACACTGAACTTTTTTAAACCTGCTACAGAGGGGAAGGAACCCTGCTTGGGCACTCTTGTCCCACAAGCAGAGGACCACTTTAGGTTACAATAAACTCTCCTTTCTCATTTTGGCTAAGATGCCCTGTAGAATGTGATCTTCTGGGGGACTTGTAGCTTTTTCTAAAGTACAATACTTTCTGGTTTCACTATGCAAGCAGTGTGATTGGATCTATCTAGCCTTGCTTTGTTATATAGGGAAAATTAATGTGAGGTATACTGAAAGCAATTTAGAGAGCAATTGATTATATCTTGTGATTAATGGTTAGTTGCCACATCTGAGAATGGATACTTTTACGTGGTTTCCAAAAATTCACTTTGAAATTTAGTTGTTCCTTAGTCCCAACTTAGTTCATCGTCATCAAGGGAAGAAACAATTCAGGACTAAATTTGGCAGTATTAATCCGTTGATTGACTTTCTGGATTTTCTTTGAGAACACCTCCACTTAGTCACTGTATGACTTTTCTTAGAGTTAAGTACATTCAAAACAAGTTGATTGTTGTAAACATTTTTACTAATTAGTTATTATCTTTGTTTTCTTTTATATATTTCTTATCACTTTTTACAGTCACCCTATGAAGTAATGTAGCACATGGTATAAAATAGATATATACACGTATGTAAATACACGTACTATATGCTTATATCTAAATATATATTACTTAATTCTAGGACTTTGGTTTTGTGTGCATGTACTATATACATACGCACATTATGCACACACTAAATACTATATAAAAATATAGACATAAATACAGACACACACATATCCACAGCTCTACTATTCAGTAACTTGCCTAGCATTGCTAAGTTAGTAAGCAGTGGTATCGGACTCAAAACTTAGATTTTTTCATGTCAAATGTTGGAGTTTGCAGTATACAGCCCTCAAATACAACACCTAGGAAATTTGGAGAACAAAAACAAGCAGACAAATCAAACTACAGGATTTCTTTTGTATTATTTAACATGCTATTGCAAGTAACATTTACCTCCTGATAATTTAGTTACCATTTTTTGTACTAATTGAGGTTGTGATAACTTTTGTTTAAACAGTTTGCTGTAGAAGTGTCTTTGTGATTCTTTTTGCTAAGAAAACTAAAAAGATACCAGTTCAAATAACATTTTTCCTCAATTTTAGATTTTCTTCCATTTATATGTGATGGTTGTTCAGGAATATTTTGGTAAGTTAAGTTTCTGTGCAGGATTTGGGAGTAATTTTAGTGCTTGTAGTATGAAATTTATTTCTGGAAAGCAGAGTAATTTTAAAAAGTGATAACTTTAACCATTGATATTTGGTAGCCATCATGCTAATTACGTGGGAAAAAATTCAGACTTGTAATAAGCTCTGTGCATGTAAATGTTACATATCTTTAAAATTCCAGAAATGGGTTTTTAAAAATATTTTTTATATAAAGTTATAAATCACAAGGAGTCAACATATTCACAGCATAAAGTATGTATTTAAAGAAATCTAGTTGAGGTTATTACTCTTTATATTGATTAATAAAATGAGGCTAATTTATACATTTCCTAAATTGTATCTCACATGTCATGCAAAGTAAAACTTGAAAACTAACCATGAATTTTGGAAAATGTATTTTCTTTACAATTAAGCTTCCATATGTCAGACATTTAATTTATTAAATAGTGCATTGAAAGAACAAATGCTTTTCAAATGATAATTCAGGAAAATTTATTAGAAGTCAATTAAGTAGGGGATATTTTTAAATCATTTAGAACTTTAGCACTCCTTTAACATTTTATTACTGATAGACTTTGAGAAATAAGGAATAAAAAGGCCATTGTACCTTAAAGCATTTAAATGCTTCACATACCTTAAAGCATTTAACATAAAGGTACTGAACTCTTTTTGTGAATCTTTTTATTCATGAAGAGTTGTGTTTTAAGACTGACACCAGATGCTCCATATTTTATCTGGCATTTTAGTTTATTTTTATATGCTGAGTTAATTCTTATATGCACAGTTATTAATTAATAAGTGTAATTAATCTTAAGGATTTATATCATTAAAATACCTCAAATTACTATAGTTTCTAAAAGTAAATTATTTGTGTTTAAATAAACACTTTTTAATTATTTAAGCCTGGAACACAGAAGCAAGGAGTCACATAACTGTCCTGAGGTATGTTAATAATTTTACTATTTAATAAGTCATTCTTGTCTTTATATATCTTCATTCAGAGTTTAAAGACCAGTGTAATTAATGCAAATTAAACTAATAATGTAAAGAATGGCTCTCCATTTATATTATTTTTCTCAGTTTGTTTTAATGGAAAATTGACCTGTTTGGTATTTATAAATATTTTTCTTACTTTTTTACATTGCAGTTATGTTTAGGTAACCCATTTATGACTTTAGACTCCATATTTATAAATATTCACGTAGTTAATGTGAATCCTCTTAGTTTCCTTCATTCTTGGATTTATTTTTGCCTCAAGTTAGGATTCCACAGTAATGAATTTTCTGACTCTTGTCAACTTTATACTAGAAACAAATCTATAGTTCAACAAAATCTCTATCCTAATTCTGGCTAACTTGAGAGATTAAAGCTGACAGAAAAAAGGTAAAATATCTTTATCGCTAATCAAGGATAAATTGACTAATGAAGCTTAGAAACAAATGAATTTGCAGAAGAAATCCAGAGTTAAATAGATACAGTTAAATAGTCACAGCAGTGCTGGACCAAGAGAGGCTTCATTAAGGGCTGCTCAATTCCAAGATGGGAAAAGAGAAAGCTGAGCTCATCATACATAATGTAGTTTTCTCAAATTTGTAATCAGTTAAATTTGCTCTGCCTCCCTTGGCTCAGAAAGGCAGAAAGTGAAACTGAATTTCCGTCACTTGGGAAGAAACATTTGCCTCATATTTTTCACTTGATATTCATTGCTACCCTTCATTTACCAAGCACTTTACTAAGAATTTTTTAAATTTGTTCTCTCACTTATAGGTAATTAAGATTAAGTGAGCTTCAGTCAAAATTTGGCTCTTTGAAATTTAGGTAATTAATTTGAGAAAAATTTAAAAATATTATAATGGTATTATTCAAGATTGGTTAGAAAGAAGTACTCATTTAGAGTAATAATAAACATATGGATGTTTCTTACACAGCTTGTATATTTTCCCAGTATTTTTATTTTCATTTGGTTTCAATGAATGTGTATCACAGAATGTCTTTCAGTTAGATCTCACCAATTAAATAGTAAAGTAAAAATCATTTACCTTTAGAACACTGGGAAATTTGTAAAAATAGATGAGTCAGGGCCAACAAGTTGTATCTCATTTAAGACCAAGTCTTAAGTGAAATAAAATACAATAATTACTTGTCAATTTCAAGGAATTCTCTTACATCTTTCACCTCTAGAACTCAAAATAGCCTGACTGATCTTGATTATTTTTTATCTTATAAAATGTCATTTTCCTCTGATGTATATTTGCTGGTAGTAATAATATTAAACATAGTATAGAGAATAGTTTGTCTTTGTGAAAGCTAATTCATAACTGTGTGATCATGGATAAACCTATATGTTTAATTCACCAAAATTAGTGGAGAGAGTAAGTTTAACTTGCCCTTTGGTAGGATGGCAGGATGATTATCTGAATATATTATTATGGGTGCATCTTTTTTGTGAGACTATTACAAATTAGAAGACTAGTCATTTTAACTTGATTTAGAGGACAAATGTCATAGGAGGAAAAGGTAGAATAGTAAACACAGTAATTGTTTCTCATACATTTTATTATGATTATGTGAGAGCATGTTATCTTCTCCAATTAAGTTTAAACAAAAGTAATATGAATGCTAACTTCTAAGATATATTTGTTGATTTGTTTTAAATGTCAAATATAATGCCATTTCTCCTTTTTACATTATCAGGTGACTATAATCAATGAGAGATTGAAGTCAGATAAGCATACATCTTACTCATGCTCATTCAAGGATTGTACTGAAAAAGAACTTATGCCTGTTATATGTCCTTACTGTGAGAAGAATTTTTGCTTGAGGTGATCACTCTAGACCATTCAAACTCTATGTATTTGTTTAAGCCCTATGCAAATAAATAAGCTCTTGTCATTCTTCTGTTGTTCACAGACACCGTCATCAGTCAGATCATGAATGTGAAAAACTGGAAACCCCTAAACCTCGAATGGTTGCCACTCAGAAACTTGTTCAAGACATTATTGGCAAGTATCTAGAAAGCTTGTTTTATTGTTTATTTTACTGCTGTATATTGTGTTAGTTCCAGAACTTGTGCTTTATATGTCAACTTGTCAATTGATACATCTTTTATAGCCCCAGCGGTTATAATTTGCTATAAATTTTAATGATATTCTTGTGGCAGCATATGTCACAAGGTCTCCCTATCAATGAAAATTTGGAAAGTATGGAAGTACCCTACCAGGTGTTCCCTTTACTGGCCTCTTAGATCAGCTGGTTTATCATCTTGTCTTGGTTGCTATTTATGAGGCTGATGTAATGGTTTGTATTCTCTAAAAACTAAAGTTTAAGCCTGCTATTAATAATCAAAAGTGCCAGAAAATAATGTGTCTGTAACCTAGACCAGTCTTTCTGGTAACATGTTGATACAGCAGAATTTTCATTGTATATTAAGGACAATACATTTGTTAAAATCTTTTATAACTGAATCGTAAAGTTCTACTTGGGATTAAATAGATTTAAATTGGAAAGACAGAGTTTTTTGATGTGCAGTTTGTTAGGATTGACTCAATGATACTTCCCTATTCATCTTGTAAATATAATTATATACAAAATGAATGGTCTGTGTATGTCTCTTTGTATGTAGTTATGTACAGTTCAGGGTCATAAAAATAATAGAACTCTAGAAAATGTGACATGAAAGTGCTTATACTTACTTTTTAGATTCTAAGACAGGAGAGACTGCGACCAAACGACGGAAAGGTGCAAAAAATAGTGAAACTGCTGCCAAGGTAGCACTGATGAAACTAAAGATGCATGCCGATGGAGACAAATCATTGCCACAGGTTGGTCATAGAAATTTTGAGAAACAAAAAAGTTTCAGTGTAATTGAAACCCCTTTTTACTCCCACCAAGGAACAACTAACTTCAACCTGATTATTATTACTAATGTTACAAGCTTTATGTTTACATAAATACTACATATAGTTTTGTCCTTTTATAGAAACATCAGTGAACCATATGTATGTACCCTTGTTCAGTAAATCTTTTTTTACTTACCAGTATGTTTTTAACAGCTGTACTGATTAGATTTAGTTCATTCATTTTGGTATATTTTCACTTTTTAAAAAAGATTTTTGCTATTATACGGTGTTTGGCAGTGAAAATCTTTATGGCTATGTTGGAATGTTTCTCTAGTTTAAAACTCCATATTATTAATTTTGTATTATATATAAGTTTATACAATAACCTAGTACACACACACACTTACATACATAAACACACACAAAATACCTTAACACAATGTCAGCAATATGTCAACTTAAACTAAGTGCAATGTACTCTGATATTTTTTATTGTGTTTAATGTCATTTTAAAGATACGGTCTCACTAGTCTTTGAAGGGTTGAACATCATCAGATTGAAAAATGCTACTCTTGGAAATATACCTAGAAATAGAAAAGCTAGATCATGGGGTTTGCCATTGTACTGATTTATCTCCTCCTTATAGTAGCTGAAAGGTTTACTGTTTCCTGCCAATACTGAGAATTAGTCATAATTTGTCTGAAAACTGTAATAGCTCACTGAAGGTTTAAAGTTTAATTTGCCGTGTGGGTTAGTGAGGTTTAGCAACTTTATGTGTGCTTATGGTTTGTGTATGTCTCTGTTGTATGTAGTTATATACAATTCAGGGTCATAATAATAATAGAACTCTGAAAAATGTGTTTTTACATGTGTTTATTTGACTTTCTTCTATGAATTATTTTTTCATATCCTTTGGCTAGTTGTCACTTATTTATTCTTTCTCTAAGTTTCTATAAGTTTTAATATACTTTATTTAATGATTTCATTAGGATATATACATTGGCAATTCAACTCAGCCTCCATCTCTTCTCCCTCCCAAAAAAGATCATGCTGGTTTTCCTGAAACCAGCACCATTCTCAAGTACTTTCCAAAAGTCACTTCATTCAACATTAGAAGACAGCTTTTATACTTCCAAACTTAGGAAATTTCAGTGGAGAGCTGTTAGTCAGGAACTATAGATTAAGACTAAATATGTATGAGCACTATATCTACTTTTTATAAATTACACTCCTGAGGCTGTCCACCTACAACCTCCATTCCAAATCTAAGTTTGAGATTGGCACTTTGTGCTTTTTTCCTGTAGTGATTTTCAGGATATTTCATATCTCTTGACTTGTTCACCATTAAGAGGTCATATCTCTACTTTTGTGTCTCCATAAATAAGTTTTTTTTTTTTTTAAAGATTTATTTATTTGTGCATACAGAGCTGGGGTACAGGCCAGAGGGTCAGGGGCGGTGAGAGGCTTCACCAGAGACAGAGTG